AAAAACCCTGATAATTTGTGACAAAATAGAGCACGTTCTATAGACGTGACAATATTTCCTTTGAAGCTCCGAAAGTCAAAATATACCAATCTATGTGTTGATAAATACTCTATCAACTTATAAACTATCCATTCTATAACTAACACAACTAGGACTAAGGAAATATATGTATAGTGCGGAACCACACACGGAAGCCAATGTCGGCAACAGATGACGAACAATTTTATTTCTTTCCTATCCCATTTTAAACGTACACGCCGTATACAAATCGAGGCTTTGACAGCAGGTAAAAATCAATACATTTTCTAATATCCATTGTTATCGAAACAAAATACATCATACAGAAGCCTTGACAGATAAAACGCTGCTGCGCGTCTCAACCAAGTGCCTTGATGACGTCATGGTTGTTTACCATCCTCAGAAACAGACTCTACTCAAAGTGCCCTGGCGCGTGTATTATTCCCTCTCTTGTTTTATATTGAATTTCCCAAACAATTAAGCGCTGCAACACGACAAGTACATAGGGTGAGATGTGTTTCAAAGCTGCAAATATCTCCGTTATGAGATAATTGCACTTAATTCGAGCGTTTTGACAATCGATATGCAGCGTGTACAGCATCATGTGGGCCAGCATTTAATTCCATTTACATGCTGTGAATAAGTAAGTGAGAGAGGCAGAGAAGAAGAAGATGATGACTATGATGAAAGAGAGAGAGAGAGAGAAGAGGAAGAAGAGAAGAAAAAAGAAGAAGAAGAGAGATAAAAGAAGGAGGAGAAGAAGAAAAAGACAAACAGAGAGAAAAGAAAGAAGAGATGAAAGAAGAAGAAGAAGGAGAAAAAGAAAAGAGATAAAAGAATAAGAAGAAGAAGAAGAAGAAGAAGAGGGAGAGAGAGAGAGATCTCCAGTGTGGTGCAGATAGAATCCGTAACTTCACGCTGCCGTTTGCACTCTACATAAGACTGACTACACCTCTACCTCTCCATGTTATGAGGTTTATTCAAAGTCAGTTAATTGTACCTGCGACGGCGTTCAAATAGACGACCCAATTGCAAATTAAAGCATGCCTTGTTCTTGAAATAAAAAGAACCATAATCATAATATGCAATAATATCCAGATAGCAAGTGTCACATTCAGTTGTATGTTGTAATGCATCACCGGCATAGATACAAATACAACAGTTGAGTCGGCGGTGAAAGGATCAATAAAAAGCTTTTAACGCGTTAGGCCCCTAAAGTCAGCGACCAGGGACAGCTACAGGCAGCCAGTGCAAGCGATCAGCGGCCGGATACGACGCAGTGGCGCGGCTGCAGCATCTTGGCTGGCAAGGAAGAAACGCACGCACGGATGGGTAGATGGGAGAAGAGGTTAGGGATGGATGAAAGAAAGAATGAACGAATGGTAATATTTATAGATGAATGGAAGGTGGACAGACGAATGAAGAATGAGAAATGGACGAGTTATGGCTGGATGTATAGATGTATGGACCGGAAGAATGGCCTCAATTAATTTAATTTACTATCTTCTGATTGGATAGATGACTAGTTTGCCTCACACTTTCCATCTAAATTCAATCTCCCGCATCCCTGTAACCGATCCAGGAATAAATTACTTACTGCACACAGATAGGATTGATATAAACCGTTTGTATACATGGTATATAATAGTCATCAATTCAACTACCCGTATCATACACTGTACAACCGTATCATTGGCTGTTTTTCACAATGTTGGCTACTGCGCCACAAGTAATAACATATTGCAACTCGAATAGCAAGGAAAAAAATTAAAGAAGAATAATGAAACCCTCGCTCTTTCAACCTGTCATTGGTTGCATTGACTCTGTCAAAAAGCTATTGTAGGCATAAATCCCTTCTTTTCATCAAAAATAAATATTTGATAGCTTGAATCAGCGCTGACAGTTGCGCTAATGGCGCTGTGTTCGGAAGGGCGGACGGGGCGGGAGAGCGGACAGATAGATGGATACATGGATATATGGACATATGGACAGATGGAGAGGAAGAAAGGGTAAACGAACGGATAACAGGGTGGAGGGACAAACAGGTGGATACGGCTGGTCTGGATGGGTGGATGTATAGTTGGATAGATGGATACACGGATAAAGAAACGGATAAATAAATTGATATAAATTAATAGATCAATAATGGATGTACACTGTGTGAATGGATTTACAATTATCAGTCGGATATAGGAATATATTGGTGTACTTAACCCTCCTCTGATGAAATAAAAATTACAAGATCAGGACGGATATGGCATCGGCTTGCAAGGTGTGATAAAATGAAAATGCACCTGGGGCCTTAGACCTGCAAAAGGTGACATCACACGTAAAACCAGGTGTGCTCACACCATGGCGTTTCGTGTTGCCCCTATATGCCGTAACCTAAATTGACTATTTTGAAATTACGCACTGAATACACCCCTTTAATCCAGCGTTCTTTTCTCCTAATTACTGCCTTTATAATGCTGAATTATTAATTCGGGTTATGTATCATATTTCTCTATGACCGCTTGCCCTACAATATGCACAACGCTAATCACTATGGTAAACGATTTTTCTCAATTGATCAAATGCCATTATCATAATATATACATTTCCATTATTTAACTGTATGTACACAACGCGATCACCCCGTTAAGGTTTTGGAACTAATTGCCACAAATAGTTTCATTCCCTTCGCTGGCCGATAGCATTATATTTTTTCTGTTTCTTCTGACAATTAACTGTTTCAGCGGGGAAATGAGTGACTGCGTCCCGATATATATCAAATTTGCCTTAACCGCAAATACCCATATGGGGCTAATGCAAATATTACCATTAATTAAAAAACCTTATCAACCATTCTCTAGCCTCCGTACTGCTTCTGTTGAACTCCAGTATTGTACTTAACAATAACATAAAACCAAGGAAGCGCGTTTAACAAGTGCACAGTTTAATTTAAATATGACGTGGAAGTTTATCTTTACCTCGTAAGGTGTCGCATTTGAAACAGTCATCCCAGAATCCACTTAGTGCGCTGTAAAATTTGATAAACTGTGCATTGAACCAAAAATGTCCCAATCAGGTTAGGTTCAGTCAGTCCAATCTTTTATCTACATGATAACAACATGACGAGTCGCAGTATCTTTGTTGTACCACATACAAATGCGGAAATACTGTATATGCATTGTCACGTACCAGCAGGTTTATGAAATTTCGCGTTTGCAAGCGGCAATCACACACACACACACACGCACACACACACACACACACACAGTCGCGCGCATGCACACACGCTCAAACATCTTGGTGTCACGAGCCATTTCATCAACAATAAATTCAGCAATCCTCCTAGGAAACTATACGAAAACTCACCATTGTGCTTTGCTTCGAACGCTCGCCTTCAGACTAGACACTATATTAGTACCTCTGTATTATCAGCACTTAAGGCCGCGTTGCAACCAGATGTTCATCCGCCAATTAATCCCTGGCGTATTGATATTCATTTATCTTCTCTCTGTAGCTTTGTCCTATTGATTAACAAGCCTGGGATTCAGTCAACAGTTAATTCCAATTTATTTGGCGGATATTTGCGGTAGATGACTACGTTTGATAAAAGCAGACGACAGGGATTTAAACGCAGGCGAACTAACGTAGAACAGCAGACGATCAGCGGGACCTCTCGTCTTTTTTTTTTTCAACATTGTATCCCTGCGCCTGTGTCGCAGTGCGATTTATGGTGATGTCACTCATATCTATAATTTGATTAATTATTAATACAGCAAGATAAAAGCTTAATCAACTCTTAATCTGAATAAAGACCTTTGTTATTGTGTTGAGTTAATCAGCCATGTTATTTTCCTCCCTTTTCTCTCTGCCTCCATTTGTCTGGAATATAATATTTAACTGCGCCTTAAATCATCTTTTTTGATCTTGGAAACACAATTTTAATATTCAGTGACACGTAACATCTGACAACACACTATCCATTGGGGAAAAATCGCATTTTTGCTCAAAACAAAAATGCAAAGAATAGATGTAATCCTAGACCTTAACTCGGTATAGGCCAAGATAAGAAAATATAGACAACATTTTCAAAAATCGTTTTGATTTTACCGCGAGATAAACGATTGGGTATGATGATAATAAAACACAAGCTGAGATATTTTCATACTGTTAGAATTATAAAATTAAATAAAAATCAGTTATATTTATTGTTATATTTTCACCTTGTATTTTATAAACATCGTATATGCTACAACTACCAAGCTAATGAACACATTTGCTCATTTTTGAGGTATGCAATTAATGATAAACTTGAGAAATGTGTCGATCCCAATTTTCCCGAATTTCTTATACAGCTGCCTGATGCCCCTGTACGATCCAGGCTGTCCTTCGTTTTCGTTCAACCTGAAACGGAGGTTGGATGGTGGATAAAACCCTTCCCGTTCTCTTTTACCAGTTAAATGGCCCCACCAATGACGGTGACTTTTTAATAAGCGTCTTACTCATCACTCTCTGTCTTACAACATTTCAAAAAACAAGCTTGTTTCAATTTTTTTATGATCATGGTCCTTTCCTTTGTTATGCGTCATAACATAAGGGGTTGCAAACGGTCTTTGACTTTACAAATGCGATAGGTGTGACATCGGTGACTGTGCGCAATAACTGCATTGTGTTGATCGAGCAAATATGAAAGTCATCAACAATGGCATATTCCCCCTGATGGCAATAGCTTGATAGAATTTGAGTTAGAATTTGTCCATTTGTGATAATTTTATTAAAGTGGCAATACCAGCCGTAATATTATAACGTTCCACAGTATTGTACTACCAAAATGTATTATTTATTGCAATTTTGATCATGCAGTCAGTCTATTTTTCGTTCTCAATTTCGTGAAATCCGTTCAGGAAAAAATATGGTTACAAATCCATGATAACCAAGGATAACTTTTCAGTTGCAAAACTTCAATGGGGAAATTATGATATGAAAGGCTATAATGTGGTTTTATTTATTTATTTTATTTATGTATCTCAATGCTCAACTACGCCTTCTTATACACGTAACCCTCTAATTCAAACCAAGTGAAAAAAGAGATTTCATCATTTCTTTAAAGTTAAACTAAAAATTAAAATATAAATTCAAAACAATCTGGTAAAATACAAGAAACCGATGCATTAGATATTGCTGTTATAAAAGCGGTACCGGTATAACAGGAATGGAAGTCCTAGGAACGGAGGTACCGGCTCCCACATGATAAGTACAGGTTACGGATTAGTTTTTTGGGGATAAGGATACGGGAAAAATACCACCTGTGCAAAGCAATGGGAAGCGGACAACGATTACTAGTGGACTTCCATTTTTCACACCGGTAAGTAAATTAACGGACATTCATCATGTGCATCCTCGGACAGGAAATGATCGTCATTAGATGCTCCTCAGAATGTCCTGTAGAGAAGGGATCTGCATAGATCTACTTAAGAACAAAGCAGTTCACACACAACTTGTTCACTAATCTCCAAGTCTCGCGTGAAAAGACGTGAGTAAGGAATGACGCATGCGCAATTCATGGGAAAGTTCGTGCACGGTACGCGAAGATGTTCTATTTCTTATTGATCTAAACGTCCTTACTTCAAATAAAGTTCAACAACAAAAGGATATCAGAGGTTTGTTTTTGAGAGTCACTGTTGTAGAATTCCTACTTTAGTTTTCGTCGCGGTACCTGTGCACTACAGCATCGCGTGACGTCATGGACGGGTCTTCGTCAAAGAAATTTAGAGGTGCAAGAATGACCGACAATTGTTTGCCAGGAGTGGTTGTCACCGGGACGTCCTCCGCGACCGGGATATGATGAAGTCCGATGCAGGCCCAGACCACCAAATCTTCATTCACAATTGCTTGGTTATCTTCGTAAAAATTGGAAAACTTTCTGACAGGTCGATAGGGGTCGCCCTGGGTCCACAAGGTGGCAGACGTGTCCTCGTCATCTTTGTAGCGCGTGACCACGAGCTGATGGCGTGCCCAAGACACGCCGTTTTCGAAGTACCACCCATCTGGGAAGAGCTTCTTGGAGAAGTTGGGCGAGTAAATGCGATAGCCACGCGGATAGCCATTCGAGTTGTTTGTTCTCTCATTGTACATCACGTAATACTTGGGTTCGTTAAAATTGTAATCAATCAGAGCTTCCCTCTCTGTTCTTCTTAAATTCCTTTCCATATATCTTTGCTTCATTGCCACATTTCGCCCGCGGATCAGTTCGTTCCGTTGGGTCTCATCAAGCTTCAAATCCCACGTCTCAAATAAATTTCGTTGGCCACCGATATCGAAGTCGATTTTAAAGTTGAACAAATGGTGGTGAAGGTTCCCCGTGATGCCAAAATCCCTGTCAATGTAGAAGCCGTACTTGGAATCGTCGCGAGTTGTAAACGCTTGAATGTAGCCAGTCGAAGAGACTTTGGTTTCTATGACGCCATTCGGATGGAAAACGTAGTCAAAAACGTAGTCATAGTTCCACACAGTGGCGATGCCGCGTAAAACCAAAACAGTACCGGCCATGCTGAAGCGGTAGTAGTAAGGGTCCTCGAGGTCCGGCTGGAGAGGGAAGAAGTTCATGGAGTGATGCCGACGGACTGGCAATGCCGTGTTGTGCTCAAAGAGACACAGGGCGTCCGCGTGGGTTTTGGCGTCTCCGGAAACACTGTCAAAGAAGGTGTTGTTAAAGTACACGGCGTTATCAGGGCAGTCGTAGCCTTTCACTACAGGGAAATGGAGCGCGCCAAGGGAGAAGCCAGCGTCAACGTATTGGATTAAGATCCCTTCGGGAGCGTCGCCAGAGTACAAAACGGCCACGTCAGACATGCTGACCTCATACGCAATCCGCTCTCCTCTGAAGCGAACGTCCATCAGTTGTAGCCCATTCACGGTGCGCAGCCGGAAGTTGAACTCCCAATCCATGTACTTTACATGCTGTCCGTCGACTTGGAAACGTCTGCCGTCCGGCTCAACCTGCATTGGGGGTCTTTTAGGGCTTCCCTGGGGTTCTTTCTTGTCACGTGCTTCCGGTGATCCGTGAGTGGCGCCTCCTGGGGGAAAAGGGTATTTACGGATTTCCCGCTGACGTGTCGTTATATAGATATCGAGCACTTCCTCGGCCGTGCGGTGAGAGATTCCTTCATAGTACACTGAGTCCAGAACGAACTGGTTGGGATCGTTTGTGCCACAGGTTACGAGCAAGCGCAGACTCGTCGGCCAGACGTAATACCCGTCAACATTATTGCGGAAGAACCAAATAATAGCCTTCCTATCCCCAGACTCGATACCCCTTGGGATGTAAGCGATCCTTAAGCATTTGTCTCCGCAATCGTCGCCGTACCAATATCCGTAACTTTGCTCAAGCAGAGGGCGCAGTTTTCCCAAGATAGGCCGAACAAATTTCTCCAGTGCTGTCATTTCTACAGGGTCCATTGGCCGGCTATTCCACGGGATTTGCTTGGTCTGAGCCGAGTTGTTTAACAAGGCAAACCTGAAATAAAAACCACGTTAAAGAAGCGTAAATAATAATAATAATAATAATAATAATAATAATAATAATAATAATAATGGTAATAATAACTTCTAATTTTAGCTAAAGAATCAAGTTCATTTAAAATATTCAGTAGGCTTAACAAAAAAAGGAACAAAACTTACAATTTAAAGCTAAAAAATCAAGTTCATTAAAATATTCAGTAGGCTTAACATAAGGATCAAACGTACAATTTTTAATCAATCTTTTTATCTATTATAATGTTTGAAATTACTGAACTGTTTTCTTTTCTTCTTTACACAATTTTTATACAAAAATTCCCATATGAAAGTCAATACCATGATTCCATGAGTACTACGTCTTACATGTTAACGTTCGGTATCGGCCACACCACATACTCCTCTACTGTAGGGGGCGTACTGGCTCCTTTGAACACCGTCACACGTGCACGACGATCCGGTGCCTGGCGATCGCCGCTCAGGTGACTGAGGACGTCATATTTGGGCGGGAGAAGTGGGTCAATCAAGAAAATATAATTGCTTGATAGAGTTGCCTCAGAGATCGGCACTAGATTGAGGCTGGCTTGGTTGTGCATGAAGTTTTTGATTTCTCTTATTTCAGCCTCGCTGAAGGTGTCGAAAACGGAAGGCGTCCTCGGAGTAACTCGCCAGTCATTTTTCCCGTTTGAATAGAGCCCTTGAGCGGCCATCTTGTCTTTGAGCTCAGACCGATCTACACCGATCACGATGAGGCCGATGATTAATGCAACGCATAGAACACTGAGCAGAACAACGGCAACAAGCAGTCCGCGACTTCCACTGGACGTCATTTTTGTTCAGGAGACTGTTACCAAAGATTTGCAGTTTACTGTCCTTTCTGAAAAAAAGATGAAATAAGCCTACTTATTTCAACATTTGAAAATCATACCGATAAATCAGATGATATGTGATCAGCTTTATTGTCTGGCACGACCCCTAACAAAGCAACATCAATGGACCACGAAAATGTCCCGACTTTACCCAAGTACTTTAAGTTACCAGGCAATTAAGCTGCTTACATTGACTTGCTGGTAATATAACCTCTATTCAAAACGCAGCCATAAACTGTTCGCCCAGGCCACGTTTGGATGCTTCTGTTTAAAATAATCCAAGGCTTTTGAATCGTGCGTCTGTGGCAAAGGCCTATTGTTTTTGCTGACAAACGTTAACAACGTTTCTTCTTTGATTTAAAGCCCTTTAAGTAAGAATTAATACATACTGTAAGTAAAATACCTTCTAGCACTCGAACCTGGTGTTAAAATGAATGGGAGATTATATCTTGGCTTTTACTGCGGCTACTCTGAATTACTATCCTCTGCCAAGTCAGATTCCTGTTGTGAACGAACGCTGCGCTATTAATCTCCAGGCTTCCCTACTGATAATCTAAACTAATTAAAGTGACAAAAGCCATGACTGTCGATAAAAGGAATTCCTAAAAACGAAAAAGGTCTACTTGTTTGTTCCTCTTATGATCCCACTGCAAATCTACATAGCAACCTCTCAGTGCAGCAAGCGTGGTGATATAACACGGAATTATTTCCCATGGTCTGAAGTTATATACACATTTATGAATTCAGTGTGAGGGAAATGGTGAGATGGATGTGGTACCCTGAACATCTGGGCTCTGAAAGTGGCTAACTAGGCCCGTAGCCGGAAGGGGGGGGGGGGTCGGGGGGTTCGAAAGAACCGCCCCTTTTGCTGGGAAAAGGTCCACTCTGGGTAGAATTTGATCTAGGTACATGAAGTTTTTTATGGAAAAAGGTCCACTTTTTCAGAAAAAGAACCCCCTTTTTGAAATTGCTGACTACGGGCCTGCTAACCCTAGCCCACCTGTTGCCTTGCAATCACAACCATAGTTGATCCGCGGACTAACTGGAAAGCTTACAGCGTAATCCCAGCGGGGAATCTATTAAGTGTCTAGAAGGGAATTACGCGGCGAGCTTTCAAGTGGGTAGGTCATATTGGATCCGCGGATCTGTTAGTCCGAGGAACAACTTTGTTGTGGATTCGCCTCAAGACTCAACCTCAAGATGAATTGTCATAAGACGCTGAAACACGGCGTATCCTGCCACCGTCAGTTCTCTTTGGGTTTAACAGCAATACATCTCCAGATACCCATCCTGCATTTCAAAACACACCGGGATTTCTGACACGGACATCTATAAACGACGGACATATGGAAACCTTGCATGCATGGTGAATATAAGGAAGCAATTGCAACCAGTTGGTCCTCGGTCTTACTAATCCACTCAACAAATGCCACGCGACCCACTTGAAACCGTGCCGAGATTAAATTTCTCTGCCTCTGTTGGGACGTTGCACGTGGGAGGCAGGCGATCCATTAAACTATTGTTAGGGGATCACGCAGCTTGCTTTTAAGTTCGCGCCATATTTGATCCGCAGACTAGTTAAACCAGAGATCAAGTGGTTTTGAATGCTCCCTGATATGGATTCCGCTCTCTTGCAGCCTTACTAGGTCATACAAGCTGTAATTGATATAGGCTTTAATTGCGTTTACAGGATTAAGGTTTATTTAAGAAGGCATTAAAATACCCTGCCTTGAATTTTTCTGATCTTTCAATACATACTCCGAATGTTTGCATGCATCGTATCCTTCAGTGTATAATATTAGTATTATGTTTTCTGCTTTAATTTCTTAGTTTTGGTTTTAATCTGCTGTTTACTGGTACATCTGCAATGTAACGTCTGATCGAAAAGTTAACTTGATATCAATAAAGCGTTCTTTTTTAACAGAGCGAGTTTGTATTGCTTCTGAAAAATGTGTAATTCAAGATTTATGGGACGAACCGAGACTTCTCATGTGACCCCAAACTACAAACATCTGGTAATAATATTTCCTTTGTCTCTATTTAGGCTTCATAGGGGGAATAAATGCAGGAAGGGTTTTACTTGTAGAATGGCAGTGAGAGAGCTAGGGGCTGCGTGTAACATACGTGCCTATTTTCTACGTATCATCACAACAACTTCTGGTAGAAGTACCGGCCAAACAATCCCCCCTCACATCCAGCGGTTTATATACCTGCTATAGTACTGCACTGGTATTGACTGCTGGTCAGTTTACTTTAAGAGATTGACCACTTGCTACCCTTGCTATTGGGTTTGCTGTTCTAAGACCTTAGTATAAAATATTTAAGCAGTTACCAGAAAGCCACCATGAGATTCAGAGATTACAAAAGATGAAAAATGAAAGATGATATAAGAACAAAAATCTTAGCAGCGATCTGTATCCGCAGAGGAATATGTTTCCGTTGCTCCCACTACCTCTTGCTGCAGAGAACGGGGCCAGGGTCTCTCACTTGGCATCCGATTACCATTTCAAAGATCGACCAAAACTGAGAAAAACGTTACCTTCAAATAATTGTTTCTGTTTCATCCCTTTTTAGTAATTTTACTTTCAAAATAGAAACAAGAAAAGAAACAATCCCAGATGACTACTGAAAAGATGGGAATCTGAAGAACTCTGTCCTGGTTATAAATATGTCTCCTTGTAGATTTAGCTTAATTACGTTGCAGGTCCCAGGCACATTGCTTTTTCTTTAATGAACACATAACACTCGAAGTGTTGTGGGTAATGCACATTGACAAGAACCCTGTGTACGTACCGTGAAATCCAGAGGTCAGTCAATGATCTCAAATCCTGGAACCAGATCTAAATGCTGCCGTTGGTGAGACGTCTGCCCCAAAATCTCTGCTGTGACTGAGAGACGAGGCTAGAGCCCTGAACAAGGTCATGTCTAGGGGTGCGTTCACAATAAAACAATCGTACTAGGTGGTTCGACCTTACTCTGCTGGGACTCGTGCTGAATGCAATTAGTTAACACGCCGTCTCCCTGTGTTGAGTAGTAAAAAATTAAAGAAGTAGTACATGATTATATGAGAACATTGTATATAAGTGTTGGCGTGTTAATTCGCTAAAATGATTGCATTCAGCGCAAAGTTGGATTGATCTACCGAGTGCAATAGTTTATTTATTGTGAACGTCCCCTAAAATTTTCAACACCTCCCGTTAAGGCTCAGAGTGCGTCTGGCACGGGCAGGTCTTGAGCGGTGTAAGACTGTTTGGGAATGTGTATGTCAAGCTGTTTACGTAATATCAAGGTCACAACTTCCCGCACCCGTGTGTTGGCCTCGCTCATTACAGTGTTGACAAAACTCCTTAAAAAAAAAAAAAAAAAAAAAAAAACAAAAAAAAAAACAGAAAGAGGACTGATACGATCACCCACCTCATAGTCAGCGTCGGATAGACAGGATAATAATAATAATAATAATAATAATAATAATAATAATAATAATAATAATAATAATAAAGATAATAATATATTTATCTATAAGAAGGCGGTCTTGGTAAAGTAAATTTAAATTTACCATGACCCATAGGAGCCTACGCGTGCGTCTTTTAGACGCCCCTTTACATGCGAAAACGACGAGGCCTATGCCGAGTTCGTCTTTTACTACAGAGCTTTGAGAGCCGAAAATGGCATGGCTGTGTCTCTTTCGCCACTTACTGAACTCCAGAGATGCGAGATTGACACGACCCATGTCGCGTTTGTCTCTCAAAAGACACTGTTATAAAACATGAAATAGGCATTACGTGTGATTTTCGCAGCTGAATAAGTAGACCCTTATAAACGAAGTTGACGTGACCTTAGAGTCATGTCGCTTTCAACTTTTACAAACCTCCAACAAAATCTATCTCCACACAGACGCGCGCGACATGTACTATTGGACATGGGTCAGTTGAAAGCGACATTAACCTAAATGGCTCATGTTACTTTCAGCCAATTAATTTGAAACAGAAGGACCGTCTTAAAACCCTTTATATTTGAATCCTTGAAAATAAAAATATGAGGCCATATAATTATTACAAGCAATTAGCCACACTGTTATCTAGATAGCACTAAATTATGATGGGATTCAAATGAAAAAAATGTTTTGGGACAGCACAACACTGTTTCAAATTAATTGGATTTGACATATAAGAGTTGGCTGAAAGTAACATGAGCCCTTTAGGTTAATAGGGTTTCAACTGACCCATGTCCAATAGTACATGTCGAGCGCGTCTGTGTGGAGATAGATTTTGTTGGAGGTTTGTAAGAGTTGAAAGCGACATGACTCTCAAGTTACGTCAACTTCGTTTATAAGGTTCTACTTATTCAGCTGCGAAAATCACACGTTATGCCTATTTCATGTTTTATAACAGTGTCATTTGAGAGACGAACGCGACATGGGTCGTGTCAATCTCGCATCTGTGGATTTCAGTAAGTGGCGAAAGAGACACAGCCATGTCATTTTCGGCTCTCAAAGCTCTGTAGTAAAAGACGAACTCGGCATAGGCCTTGTCGTTTTCGCATGTAAAGGGGCGTCTAAAAGACGCACGCGTAGGCTCCTATGGGCCATGGTATAAATTAACTGTATAATTACCTTCCACCAGAGCCGCAGTTTTTATTATGTGTTTTTTTTTCAGTGCAAGGAATAGCCGTGAATTTTACCAGAGACCAATCTGTGAATATCCTGTGAAACTTTATCTGTGGCTCTGGTAGAGGGTACTTCAGTATAATCATGATTATTTTTTCACAAATTAACACACGCAAGACTCCGAACTCGGCCGTGCGAGTCTTGTGCACAATCTTTACGAAGACAAAGACTACAGTTATTTTCAAAATCTGTTTTCAAATAATCAACCCCATTTTCATTTGCAGTTAAGAAGTACAGAAGAAACTGAAGCACAGAATGTGAAATCTAAGAATGTACAACTGGTGATGCAAGGACCTAACATCAGATTAGTTAGCTTTAAAGACGGCTCTTCATAAATAAGCTTGTAGTTAAGTGGTTTACTATCAAACAAATATCATTTGATAACAAAAATGAATAGTGTTCTCACTTCGCTTTCAATTCAGCAACTTGGTAAACACTCCAGCATTTGAGAAACTCTCTAAGGTCGTCATGGCTCTAGAGAGATATTCAAATCAGAAGTCCGTGTTCGTTTCTCAAATAGAATACCAGGCCCGTAGCCAGCAATTTCAAAAGGGGGGTTCTTTTTCTACAAAAAGTGGACCTTTTACCATGAAACCTCGGTGTATGTAGATAAAATTTTACCCAGAAGGGACATTTTCCTGGCAAAAAGGGCGGTTCTTTCGAACCCCCCGAACACACCCCCCCCCCCCGGCGGCTAGTTGGGCCCCGGGGTAAGTTGACCCCAATCAATTTATGACAAAGTAACTATGGGGAAAAATAATTGATCACATCATTTTGTAAAGTGACCGTATCTATCAGTGCTAAGAATCCTCCATCTTTCCACTTCCTTCTGATACTTAATGTATAAGAATAAAGTGATTTTCTTCAATTAACAGCTGATATTGAAATTAATAACTTCCAATGTTTCCATGTCTGTCTACAGCATCTTCATCAAGGAATGACATTCTTCTCTATTGTTACTTTCTTTTATTGTAGCGACATACATAAATCATACTATTGCATGGGGCTAGCTGCTTCTGAATCACACATGC